CCTTGCTTCTAAGGAGCATTCTGGCTATACTTCTTCCGTGACAGACTTGTTCGTTCTTTTGGCAGTCCATGGTATATTCGATATTCTTCCCCAACGCCATAATTCAAAGGCATCAATTGTTTTTCAGTCTTCCTTATTCATTGTCTAGCTTTCGCATGCATATGAGGCGACTGAAAATACCATGGCTTGGGTCAGCCGCGCCTTAGTCTTCAAGGTGACAACTTTGCTTTTTAACATTTTAAAGAGGTCTTTTGCAGCAGATTTGCCCAATGCAATGCATCCTTTAACTTCTTGACTGCTGCTTCCATGGGTGTTGATTGTGGATCCAAGTAAAATGAAATCCTTGACTTCAATCTTTTCTCCATTTATCATGCAACACACAAGACCCCACAGTACCACAAACTGACAGATGCATAGGGGTCTCATCTCATAAATATTATTTATTTCAATGCCATTTCAAATATCAATCTAACAGAGTTGGGCACAAAACCCAACATAGCTTATACATGGCCTGAGTTCTTGTTCGTGAATACACTGATGATAGAAGTACCAAAAAGCTCTATTATATCTTTCAGGAACAGGATGAGGAAATGGGAATAGAGAAACAAGAAACCCAAGAAAAAGTCAGAATATTATGTCTGAAATGAGCCCAAAATTAAACCACAATGAAAGTAACAGAACATCAAGTGGTTATGCTCTGGAGTCCGCCTGTGTAGGTTCAAATCCTGCCCCCTGCTCCTCCACTTATTAGCTGTGTGACTTTGGACAAGTTGTTTAATCTCTGTGCCTTGGGCACTTTATCTTAAAATGGAAAAAATAATATTACTTACCCCACAGGATTTTTATCCTCATTTAAATGAGTTAATATAACTGTCAGCTATTATTTTCATCAACATCAGTGAGAATTTCTGATCCTCTTTACCCTGCAAAGATACGTTTTTTTCTACCCCATTTTGTAGATGTAAAAGAAGTAATACATCTTATCCAAGATCATACAACTAATAAATGGTGGAGCTGGGATCTAACTTCATACCTATAATTTCAAAGTCCATGTTCTTTCTACTATAAAATTCTTCCACTATTGAAATACATTTTTTTCCTAATATGCAATTCCTGAGAGGTAGTGTGGTATATAAGGAGCCCTGGTAGCACAGTGGTTAAAGCACTCAGCTGCTAACCAAAAGATCGGCGGTTCAAACCCACCAGCTGCTCTATGGGAGAAGGATGTAGCAATCTGCTTCTGTAAAGATAACAGCCTTGGAAACCCTATGCGGCCATTCTACTCTGTCCTATACGGTCACTATGAGTCTGAATCGACTTGATGGCAATGGGTTCGATTTTTTTGGTTTGTCATTTAGTGTGGTATAGTGACATGCAAGGATTCTTAACTTCTATCACTGTGGGTTTTGGGCAAGTCACATAACCACTCTGAGTTTTGGTTTCCTTACCTGTAAAATAGGAATTATAAAACCTACCTCACCTGGTTGTTCTGCAGAGTAAATTGTATGTTATGTTTAAAGTGCTTAGCATGGTTCCTAGCATTAAAAAAATGATAACACTATTAAATACTATTAAAAATAAAACAGATTTAAGAGTACACCAATATTTTGCTAATGCTCATTTTCACGATGGTATCAGTTATACTTTTAAGGACTCTACTCATTTTAAAGTTTGTTTTAGACCACAGGCACATATATCATGAGAATAAATACACACACATATATTAATATGATATTTAATGATGCTCATTTCATTAGTTCTCAGGTGTTAAAAGAACTATAAAAGAGAGAGATCATACTACACCAAACCTCTCTATATGGATACATACAAATCTGAATTTAGAAAATGGAATAAAGAACTTGTTGAACAGAACTAAGAAGCAGATAAGAAAAAAACCATAACCCAATGCTGTTGAGTCGATTCCAACTCATAGCGATCCTACAGGATAGACCAGAACTGCCCAATACAGTTTCCAGGGAGCACCTGGTGGATTTGAACTGCCGACCTTTTGGTTAGCAGCCATAGCTCTTAACCACTACGCCACCAGAGTTTCCTACAAGAAAAAAGGAAGTAGGTAAATGTTGTTAGTTGTTGTTAGGTGCCATCGAGTCAGTTCTGACTCATAGCAACCCTGGTCCTCTGCCATTCTCACAATTGTTGTTATGCTTGAGCCCACTGTTGCAGCCACTGTGTCAATCTATTTCATTGAGGGTCTTCCTCTTTTTCGATGACCATCTACTTTACCAAGCATGATGTCCTTCTCCAGGGACTGGTCTCTCCTGATAACATATCCAAAGTATGTGAGATGAAGTCTCGCCATCCTTGCTTCTAATGAGCATTCTGGTTGTACTTCTTCCAAGATAAATGTTGTTTGTTCTTCTGGCAGTCTATGGTATATTCAACATTCTTCACCAACACAACAATTCAAAGGCATCAATACTTACTTGGTCTTCCTTATTCACTGTCCTGCTTTCACATGCATATGAGGCAGTTGAAAACACCACAGCTTGGGGTCAGGCGCACCTTAGTCCTTAAAGTGATATCTTTGCTTTTTAACACTTTAAAGAGATCTTTTGCAGCAAATTTGCCCAATGCGATACGTCTGCTTCCATGAGCATTGATTGCAGATCCAAGTAAAATGAAATCTTTGACAACTTCAATCTTTTCTCCATTTTCTGTTTACCATGATGTTGCTTATTGGTCCAGTTGTGAGGATTTTTGTTTTCTTTATGTTGAGGTATATTCCATATTGATCTTCATCAGTAAGTGCTTTAAGTCCTCTTCACTTTCAGCAAGCAAGGTTGTGTCATCTGTATATCGCAGCTTGTTAATGAGTCTTCCTCCAATCCTGATGCCGTGTTCTTCGTCATATAGTCCAGCTTCTCAGATTATTTGCTCAGCAGGCAGTATGGTGAAAGGATACAACCCTGATGCACACCTGGCTTGACTTAAACCACGCAGTATCCCCTTGTTCTGTTTGAACAATGCCTCGTGGTCTAAGTACAGGTTCCTCATGAGTACAATTACGTGTTCGCAAACTCCCATTCTTCACAAGGTTATCCATAATTTGTTATGATCCACACAGTTCAATGCCTTTGCATGGTCAATAACACACAGGTAAACATCTCTCTGGTATTCTCTGTTTTCGGCCAAGATCCATCTGACATCAGCAATGATATCCCTGGTTCCACGTCCTCTTCTGAATCTGGCTTGAATTTTTGGCAGTTCCTGTCAATGTACTGCTGCAACTGCTTTTGAATGATCTTCAGCAAAATTTTACTCATGTGTGATATTAATGATATTGTTTGATAATTTCTGCATTCTGTTGGATCACCTTTCTTTGGAATGGGTACAAATATAGATCTCTTCCAGTTGGTTGGCCAGGTAGCTGTCTTCCAAATTTCTTGGCATAGATGAGTGAGCACTTCCAGCACAGCATCCGTTTGTTGAAACATCTTAACTGGTATTCTGTCAATTCCTGGAGGCTTGTTTTTCACCAATGCCTTCAGTGCAGCTTGGACTTCCTCCTTCAGTACCATCAGTTCTTGATCATATGCTACCTCCTGAAATGGCTGAACATCTACCAATTCTTTTTGATACAGTGACTCTGTGTATTTCTTCTATCTTCTTTTGATGCTTCCTATGTCGTTCAATATTTTTTCCATAGAATCCTTCAAGTTTGCAACTCGAGGACTGGATTTTTCTTTAGTTCTTTCAGCTTGAGTAATGCCAAGTGTGTTCTTCCCTTTTGGTTTTGCATCTCCAGGTCTTTGCACATTTCATTATTTATACTTTACTTTGTCTTCTCAAGGCGACCTTTGAAATCTTGTGTTTAGCTCTTTTACTTCATCATTTCTTCCCTTTGGTTTAGCTACTCTACGTTCAAGTCCAACTTTCAGAGTCTCTTCTGACATCCATTTTGGTCTTTTCTTTCTTTCCTGTCCTTTTAATGACCTCTTGCTTTCTTCATGTATGATGTCCTTCCACAACTCATCTGGTATTCGGTCATTAGTGTTCAGTGCGTCAAATCTATTCTTGAGATGGTCTCTAAATTGGGGTGGGATATACTCAAGGTCATACTTTGGCTTTCATGGACTTGCTCTAATTTTCTTCAGCTTCAACTTGAACTTGCATATGAGCAGTTGACGGTTTGTTCCACAGTCGGCCCTTGGCCTTGTTCTGAATGATTATATTGAACTTTCCCACCATTTGGGTCTGCAGACATAGTAGATTTGAATCCTGTATATTCCATCTGGCAAGGTCCATGTGTATAGTCGCTGTTTATGTTGTTGAAAAAGGTATTTGCGATGAAGAAGTCATTGATCTTGCAAAATTCTATCATGCAATCTCCAGTGTCATTACTATCACCAAGACCATATTTTCCAACTACCAATCCTTCATTTCCAACTTCTCTCATTCCAATCGCCAATAATTATCAATGCATTTTGATCGCATGTTTGATCAATTTCAGACTGCAGAAGCTGGTAAAAATCTTCAATTTCTTCATCTTTGGCCTTAGTGGTTGGTACGTAAATTTGAATAAGTCACATTAACTGGTCTTCCTTGTAGGCATATGGGTATTATCCTATCACTGAGTGTTGTATTTCAGGATAGATATTGAAATGTTCTTTTTGACGACGACTACAATGCCATTCCTGTTCTACTTGTCATTCCCGACATAGTAGATCACATGATTGTCTGATTCAAAATGGCCAATACCAGTCCATTTCAGCTCACTGATGCCTAGGATATCGATCCTCATTGCGTTCCATTTCATTTTTGACAACTTCGAGATTCCCTAGATTCATTCTTCGTACATTCCATGTCCCAATTATTAATGGATGTTTGTAGCTGTTTCTTCTCATTTTGAGTCATGCCACATCAGCAAAAGAAGGTCCCAAAAGCTTGACTCCATCCACATCATTAAGGTCAACTCTACTCTGAGGAGGCGGCTCTTCCCCAGTCATATTTTGAGTGCCTTACAACCTGAGGGGCTCATCTGCCAGCACTGTATAAGACAATGTTCTACTGCTATTGATAAGGTCTTCACTGGCCAAATTTTTCATACGTAGACTGCCAGGTCCTTCTTCCTAGTCTGCCTTAGTCTGGAAGCTTTGCTGAAACCTGTCCACTATGGGTGACCCTGCTAGTATTTGAAAAGCTTCCAGTATCACAGCAACACACAAGCCACCACAGTACGAGAAACTGACAGACATGTATGTCGGTAGGTAGATGATACAAAATCCCATGACAAACGTGAAACACTGGGTAATGATTAGAATGATTAAATATTTGACTAGAACATTTTTACAATATACTTAGGTACAATCAGCACTTTTTATAATTCAAAATGGAACAAAAGCATATCAGTACTTTTTTAAAACAAACAAAAAAGCTATTTCTTTTTATAATCAGTTACTAACAACTAAAATCTTTATTTTTTTACCTGATGAACTAGAACGACTTCCCATGCTGCTGACTTCTTTATCATAGCTTCCATTTTCAACATGATCTAATTTTCTTCGCGCTATAGGAAAAAGAAATGGATTACTTGTGACAATTATTACGGCCTTTTGCTCCTACCATGTCTGACTTTAATTGCTAAAATCACTTACGCAAAAATGTCATAGACAACAAGAGAAAGTTCTTGAGTACATACTTCAGACAGGAAGGCTATAAGTGGCATTCATATAAAATGACATCTGAAAATGTACAGGTCAAATACAAAATATATGGAAACAATATGACAACAACTGACACTGACCTCACTTAGGTATGCTGAACTTGACTTTTGCAGTTCATGTTACCAGCAAGTCTTGAAAGATTTATAAAATCCCTACAGTTTCAGAAAACCCTTCATTTCCCCCAAATTTCCCTTCAATTACATCCATAAGAACAAATATCTAAATATATTCATATTACGTAAATGCTAAATTTTTTTATCTTATTACTATATTTCACTCTATTTTGACACAAATAAAGCAGTGGGAATAGTAGAGTAGAGTAGAGTAGGAAGTCAGAAGACATGTCATATTCATCTTTGTTTCCTAAGCACTTAGCATAGACACCTAATAACACGAATTTTTAAATAAAAAAAATCTGGGTTCCAGTCCTCACTGTGGTCTCAGTTTTCTATGAAGTGGAGGGTTAGAGCAATGATTTCCAAAGTGGGGTGCAGGTGCCATCGAAGCTGTACAAAACAATTTACAGGGATGTGTAGGAAGAAAACATTAGAACTTATATTTAGTCTTAACCCACTGCCCTTCAATCAATTCCAACTCATAGTGACTTACCCCTTTAAATTTCTATTTTTATATGTTTTCTAATGTACATAACATTGAATAGTATATGTTTACTATTTATTTATAAACATATAAACTGGGGAACAAATGCTCAAATACTTTAAAGTGATAGGAACATGGGATGAAAAAAGTTTAGTGACTACTGCTCTAAGGTACTTTCCAACTCTCACATCTTGTGGTTTCTGTGAATAAATGCCTTTAGCAGAAAAGATAAGACTATTCATGGAAGTGCAAGAAGTTTAGCAATTTGGTTTATGAGCATTATACATTAAAAAGAACATATGTCTCCAACCATAATGTAGTAGAACCTGATGTAAAATGCATTTTTTCTATGAATCTTTCATTAAAAGAAACAAAACATTCATGGTCTAAGTATGGAACAGTTTTATACCTTGCTGAAGTTGTTTGGTAAGATCTTTGATGCTAGAAGCATGTTTACGTCTTTGAGTTATTAATTCATCTTTTAGTTCTTCTACCTGGGTATTCAGTGTTTTAACTTCTGTTTGTCTACAAGTGAGTTCAGCTTGTAAACTCTGGACTTCCTCTTTTCGAAGTTCTTCCTCTTTCAACAATCTACTTTCCTGAGTGACAAATAAGATGTGAAAAAAAAAAAAAGGTGAATATCTTACTATTTATTTCCGTTATTCCTCAGAGTTTCAGGCCTGAAAATACAAGATCCTTGACAGTACAGTATCTTCTGTCATCACTCCTGACCAGGTTTTATTTACTGAGCTACTCAAATCCCTTATATAGCAACATAGGGGAATACATTGATGGGTATATCATTCTATACCTTCACCACAACATGTGATATAGGTGTCTGGATTTTTGGTCTAAGGTCTCAAAAGTATTTTTATGAGTAATTTGAGAATATTCTCATAACTTAGAAATATTAAGCCATCTTTGAAACTATAAAAATAAAACAAACTAACAAATTTAAAGTACCTGTTAAAGAGTTAAGTGATTCCAGTTGGGAATGACAGAAATCCTGGATTACTTATTTTCAAAAGTGAAGTACTTCTTCATAATCATTTATAATATCAAATTTTATTATAAATTACATCAGTCAAAAGGACAACTGACATTTCTTATAGCATCTGAAACTACCAGAAAGTCAGAGCCAACAGAGAAGAGCTTAAATCAACTACTGCTAATTTTACGCTGTTAGGGAAATTTAATTTGTGCTTCTTGCTATGTTTCTTCAAAAGTTAAAATGTAGATTTATACTTACCAAATTAATATTTGTCTGTTTCATTTGTTCACATTGGCTTTGTAACTGACTTTCACTACAGGAAAGCTTATCAAATTGTGACTGCAAAGAATTGGATTCAGACTGAAGCTGTGCATTCTTACTAGTGAGCTTTTCTGTAAATAGTAGTAGCTCAGATTCTCTTTTCCTGCTCCCTTCGATGTCTTTTTGTAGGTCATTAATCAAAGAATTAAGACTTTCCACTTCTTCTTTTAAATTTTCAATTTCTTGTTTACCTCTAAAAAAACAAAGTTTATATTTAAGAAAAATTTAAATTAATAAAAGACATTAAAGTAATGGTTTTGGGAATTTTCATCTAATGAAATGCTTTTTAAAGGTACTTTTATTCATTCATCCAAATATTTATGAATGCATAAGGGGACCTGGTGGCACAGTGGTTAAAGTGCTCGGCTGCTAACTGAAAGGTCAGTAGTTCAAACCCAACAGCATCTCTGCAGGAGAAATATGTGGCAGTCTGCTTCCATAAAGATTACAGCCTAGGAAACTCTGTGGGATAGTTCTACTCTGACCTATAGGGTTGCTACAAGTCAGAATCGACTCGACAGCAACAGGTTTTGGTTAATATATGCCAGGAACTAAGAGCTGGGGGTACAAGTAAACAGCCTGACATAATCCCTGCTTTCAAAGAGCTTTTGAGTCACATAAAGAAACAATGAATGTGATAAACATTTTTGATGATGATTGCATACAGGAAGTCGTCTAACCTAGGGCAGGGATGCTTAAACTAATACCTAAAGCAGAGGTCAGCAAATTTTTCCTGTAAAAGGCTAGACAATAAACTTCAGGCATTTAAGTTACATGGTCTTTGTTGCAACTGTTCTACTTTACCATTGTAGCATGAAAGCAGCCAGAAACAATACATAAAGGAATGAGTATGGCTGAGTTCCAATAAAACCTTATTTACAAAAACAGGTGGTGGGCTGGATTTGGCTTACAGGCCATAGTTTGCTGACCCCTGACCTAAAAGAAAAGCGGAAGTTAGTGGGAGGACAAAATATGCTCCAGGTAGCGGGAATAGCATGTGCTAAAGCTAGGAAGGGAGCAAGAGAATGACTTCTTGTAGGTAGGGAATGTACTGTATCCCTAGCACCTAACACAGGGCTGGGAAGGCAGGCGATGATCAATAAGCGTGTTAACTGACTATGGCTGAAACACAAGAGGGAAAAAGGGAAAGGTGCAAGGGAGAAGCAAGGCACAGGTCACTGATGGTCTTACGAGCCATGTGAAGGCATTTGAACTCACTAGGCAAATCTTTGAGGCAATGGGAAATCATCAAAAGGTTTGAATAGGCTGCTTTTTAAAAGATTACGCTAACCACAGTGTGGGAAATGGATTAGAGGGGATGCAAGCAGAGCAATTAGTTTAGAAGCTAGTGCAGCTCCCCAGAGGAGAGCTGACAATAGCTTGGGCTATAGTAGTAGCAGTGGAAATGTAAATGGACTTGAAAGATCCTAAAGAGTTAATATCAACAATACTTTGTGACTGGTTAGATGTAGGAGGGGAGGGAAAGAACAGCTAAGAACAACTCCCAGGTTCCTGGGTTGGGCAGTCATGCAGATGAGACACTCACCCCTCCTCCTGGGAGCACCAGAGAAGCACATTTGTAGGGGGACAGAGGAATCAGTTCTGGACATGTTAAAGTTTGAGGTATCTTTGAGACATATGAGTCTGGAGCTCAGCAATAAAGCCTGAAGCTAATTTGAGGGTTCTGCGGCATACCACAAGAATAGTTGGTATCATGCAGGAGTACAGTAAAATGAGAACAAAAGAGGGCTTTGGGACAGGAAGTGAAGCCTACAGAGGAGACTGAGAAAGAGTGGCCAGAAAGGTGGTAGGAATACCAGGAGATGATGAAAATGAAGCCAAAGGAAAGAAGGCGGGAAAGCATGAGATCTACAGGGGAAGTGTAGTGACTGAGATTCAGAGAGGAGCAGGAACATTTCTTCCACGACAACAGAAGGGAAGGAAAGAAGAATGGCTGCAGATGCAGGCAAGCTCACAGGACTGATGGCAAGAAGTTGAGAGAACTGTCAGCTTCCAGCTCCCATTTCTTTTGTGAAGTAAGAGGTAATTATCTGCCAAGAGTAAACAGAGAGGTAAGGGAGAGGGCCAGAAGTGTGAAGAAATAGATAAGGTTTGGAATAGATGGTAGGAAGATGGGGAGAAGGCCCTGATCTAGGATACATGGTAGGATTACAGATGTAGTAAGATCCCAATGAGGTTGATGAGCATGGATTTATAGCAGCACCAACCTGGTAGATGGTGAGGATTTCTTTAGCAATACTCAGCAGCATGGGTATCTGTGAGGTGTGGAAAAGAAGATACTTGGATTCAATGTGAATCCAAGCTCCGCCAGCAATGTAGTAAGTGGAGTTTAGCTAACTGGCTTTATAAGAGGCCAAGGAGTAATGTCAGCTCCTGACCTTAAGCTACATACATACAAATGTGTGTGTGTGTACACTATCTTTTAAAAAAATACTGTATATAAATAACAGAATTTGAAAGCCAAGGAATAGACTAAATCCATTCTATCTTATAAACTGCAACTGCCAATGTTTAAAGAATATAAACTTTGATTTTTAAAAGTCATGGTAGAAACTTAAAAAGACTTCAAAAAAGTTCAAATGAAGATAGGAACTTAAAAAAAAAATTTAACTAATAAAATCGTTCTTGTTTAATGCAATAATTGCATTTCAAACAGAATCTTGAGATAAAATAAGAAAGCCTGTTGATGAGCACAAACAGAAGCTGCTCATTTGATACCTTTGAAACTGCTCCTGAATCTGATCTGCAACTTTCAATTTGTCCAGTAAGTTCTGAATTTCAGCTTTCTGGCGATTAATAATTTCCTTATATTTCGATAATTCATCTTCTGTTCTTAATCGTTCGTCTTCTAGACATTTCACCTATGAAATGATCATAACCAAGTTAATCTACAAACACTATTTTCTTGTTCTTTATATACTATTTCAGACAGTGGTTATACAGTGGTAATCTAAGTTGAGTTCTGAATCAATATTAGATAATATGAAGAAAATGTAACAATGGGAAGTTAACCATCTTGAGTTGTAGTCTCAGATTTCTCATGGTTTAGTCATGGGAGTTTAAGCATGCCACTTTATTTTTTCTGAGTCTCCATTTACTCACCTGAAAAGGGAGGATACCTCCCTACCTACCTCAAAGAACTGGCCTGGAGAACAAATAGGAAGGTAGATAAAAAACCCTTTGAAAGATATTAAGTATCTCAATTTCAAGGTGGTTATTTAAAAGCCTTATTTTGAAGTAAATGAATGATATACATTGATAATACATTTCACAGTCATGGTTATATTAAAAAGACTATACAATAAAGGCTATAATCACTGGAAAGAATTTAATAGATTGTTAGAGATTAAAACTATATCCATCTAGAACTATTAAATATATGCAAGAGAAATATAAAGAAAGTCTTCCTGTTATTTTTTGACACCCACAATTCTAAGGTCCAACTATCTTTCAATTAATTTTCTGATTAAGACTGCCTTTAGATCAAAGGCCCAGGGCTAAGTTATAAACAGAGCAATCATGCTCTGAAACAGGTATGTTTGGCAATCACTTCAAAGGACTGAAGTGGAGGACATTCCATTTCAGCAAGAGTCCATTTTATTGCCAGAGAATTGCTATTCTAACCCTCTGAGTTCTTTCATTTTGGAGAACTTGTATATAAAGATCTTTTTCCATCCATTTTAAAAATAAGAATGAGTTCAAAATTAAAGATAATATTTATCCTTCCTCTGGAGTCACAACCTAAGATTTAATTACCTTTGTTCTCAATGTTCGTAGCTCATCCATGCCCTCCTTAAATGTCCTCTTCAGATCTTCCAGTTCCTTTATTTTGGCATGATGCATCTTTTAAAGGGTTTAGAAGAAACCATAAATCATTATGCACTAAACTAGATATAAAATTTATTGCCTCATTCTTGCAAAAGGCCTCAAAACTTGATAGCAATACATACGCCTAGAAAGCAGTTCTCTCTTTCTGTATTTATCACACAATCGAGGGCATATAAAGAGCAGAACTACTCACCTCTAGTTGGTCAGACTTTTCTTGCATTTGTTTTTCAAGTTCTCCTTTTGTAACTCTGAGCTTTGCACCAAGCTCATTTGATTTAATTTCTTCTGATTCCTAATGAAAAGGAAATTAAAAAGCACAAATGACTTAATTTTTAAGGTTTTATACTCTGAAAAGTGAAGAAAACTTTACAACCAAGTTTTCTAATTGTGAAGTCCATAGCTTGTCATGTATCTAAAAATGACTGTATTGAAAAATTTTAAATATGTCAATTTGGTATGAACAAGGATAGCATACTTAAGATATGTAACATAATACAGAGTGTTTTGTTTTTTTTTAAGTTCTACATTTCCTTACACTCTTCATTCTTCTGACATTTTCTAGTGTTTCATTTGGTTGAAAATTTCTCTAGTGAGATCTCTATTTAAGCTGCAGGAACTTTCACAAAGCAAATAATGTTTTATTTAACTGCCGTACCAGATCCAGTCTACCCTTCAAATATTGCAGATGCAGGAATTTAATGAAACAAGAGATTTGGCATAATTATTACCAATTTATTTAAAAAGTTAACCATACCTGATATGTTTTTATCATGTCCTGACAGTTTTTTCGTATCTGATCTGCTTCTTCCTTTGCTTGAGTTAACTTTGTTGTTGTTTCTCTGAGTCTATCTTTGGTTTCCTGCATTGACAAAACGACAGCAACAAAGTTGGCCACAAGAACGTGATGAACCGTGACTATGGAGTAGGAAGAGTTGTTGTCCTAGCACTGCTAGGGGTCGGATACTATTCTAATACTTTATTTCTGACGAAAAATTAAAATTGCATCCACAGTTAACCAATATCCATGAAAGTTTATTTTGTTAAATTTTAAGCAAATTTCTAAAAGTTATTCACCTTCATCTCTGGTAAGACAAGAAAAGCAAAGTGTTAAACAATTCTTTGCACATACATATAAAACAATTCTGTGGTTTATGGCTCTAGTATCTATTCAAATTGCCTTTTTACAGATGCATGCTGCAATTTGGTTTCTGCTCCTCACTGCTCTCCTAAAATGGCAATTCTGAAGGTTTGCAGAGACTACCTACTCTCTCATCCAATCCAATTACTTTTTCTGGGTTCTTATTCTTGACTTACCTATTCCAGATGACCACCTGGACTCTTTGCTACTTTCCTTCCTCTGATTCATAACATATCTTCTTGCCTTCTCTGTCTCCTTGACAGGCTTCCTACTTCCTATGGAGATTTGCTAAGATACAGCCCTCATCCTGCAGCTCTTTCTCCATAATTCTCCTTCAGAGAACCCATCCAGTCCGTGGTTTTGGCTATCATCTGGATCTCCAGGGAGAGTTTAGGTATCATAGGCTGCTAGTAGTTTTTCCTTGTTATTCCTTAAGACACGGGTAGATGCTGCTGTGCTGCCTTCCCACAGACAGAGTCCAGGGCATCCCTACGTTGCAACAATTGATACACTATACTGGAGCTTCTGTGTTTCCACCATTAAGTATATAGCTTTAGGACAGCAGGGCCTGTGTTTTCTTATACAAAGTGCTTGCTCCTTATTAACTGTTCCATCAACATATGTTAAACGAATGAAGGAATACCCAATATAAGCCTTCTGCTCCAGTTAGGTAGGGCCCGTGTGCACTCTTGGGGTAGTCCTTTCTGCTAATTCTTCCCTCTCTCTGTAGTTTCTCCAGGCACATGGATGATTGCACACATGCACTGCAGACTTGAGGCACACACTGCGGATCTCCATATCTTTTTCTTCCCCACTACTCTGCCCTGCTCCCCATACTCTGAACTATCTCCTTAACTCAGGGCAACTACTGGGCCCTGTTTGCTTCCCCCTCCTTGCACTGCTTCGTTTGTTTCCCTTGTCTCAGGGATCACTGTCCTGCACTGCTTATGTCCCATGTCTGGAAACCTTTGTTTCATATATTTGCTGGTTTGCTTTTAGTTTTTTAAGGTGAAAGGGTAAATCTGGTCCCTGTTACTCCATGAGGCAGGCCCAGATCATGATTAAATCCTATATCCTTTGATCCAGAGACTCTCTCCCCCATCGACCAGATAAACACCTAAAATAGGTAATCCAGATCCCATCCCAGACACTCTTGGAAAGCACTGACTGTATTTTCTATGGCTTTTCTATCCTCCATGTTATCTAATACAGTGTTTTGCACACAAGAAGACACACTAAACACTTGCTGGTTAATAAATGCCTTTACTTAAAAAAGGACTGGCAAATTTCTAATTTCCATGTACCAGGTCAATATACTTGTTACTTCAATTGTCTAATAAACCACACCATGTAACCTTACAGAAGTCAGCCTTAAGCCTCTCGTCTACCCTACTTCCAGCGGATCTGGTTTCATCTGATCTCAACGTTGCCATTAAGTATCTGTTATCACCATTCTTTAAACACAGGTGGCTCACAGGCGATCTCTGAGTCTTTATAACACTTGAATGTTAGTATTCTTATAGGCTTCAGCATCCTGTCTCTTAGGAGTATACATGAGGATGAGGAAAGTTCAACAGACATTATACATGACCAAGTGTTAAGTTCAGATCTTGGAGCAACTCAGGTAGTTAGAAATTTTTACCATGCTATAGTCTTTACGGATTTTTAATTCTTCATTCTGTCAACCCAAAGTAAAGGAAACTTCTCAACCATTTCTAGCCATGTGTGAGCTCCTGGGATTGTTCTGATTACTCCTTTCTGGTAGTTCTTCCCCTACCTCTGTAGTGTCTTTCATGCATGTACTGAATGACCAGTAGTCAGCTGAAGATTTGAGGGGAAACCACTGCTCTCTGATCTATCTTTGACCACTGTCAACACAGGTAACTCTCCCTACAGTTTTCTCTGATACTATGTGCAAATATCCACAGGTTATTAAGAGTCATACTGACTTAGAAGTATTTAATAAGACAATCCATGATTATGGTTTTAAACAATACTATTGAGCCTATTTTTAAAAGCATGGAAACTGATATTTCCATAACATTGCTTTTCTGGTTTAAGTCATATCTCAGAGTTGTTCTTTGTCTTCGCATTCTATCACTTTCAGGTTTTTATTACCTCTGATACCAGCTCAGTTACTGCTTAAAATTATGGCATCAGATACCAGCCTTTATTTTTTATTTTGCTTTACTTTTCATTATATTTATTTTTTAGATTCATTAGCCACAAGATCAATGGGATTATATTCAGAATAAAGAAACTTATTTTATTCTTAAAATCTTTATTATATTCAAAATTATACTTAACAAGAAATAATATTTCTTGATTACAATAATCTTAGCATCTTTCATTTTTTTTAAATTTTCAGTTTCTTTTAATTTTGGTAATCTACAGATTCGCCTCATCCCCTACCCCCCAAAAACACCTGACAATGTTTAATATAAAATATAACATACAAAAAGTGCTTAAAGAGCCGGGTTAATTTGGGGACTGTAAACAATCACCGATAAAATTTAACATCTCAACCAATTTGATATGTAAAACACACAAGGAAGTATTCTTTTTACAAACATCAAATATTCAGGCCCAAGCTATCCTGCCTCATTAACTGTTCCTGCATTTGTTCTTAAAACTGATTCTAATAATTATGACTGATTATAGTACTTACCTTGTGTGAATCCATTTCAGCTTTTAATTTGTTTTGTGCCCATTTTACTTTAATGATGTGAGAGTTGACATCTTCCTTTAATTTGTCTATCTCTCTGCTGAGTCTAGATGTTTCACCTTCCTAAAATAACATCACCAGGTCATATTTTCATCTAAACAATCAACCAATTATTTGTGTCTTTTATACCCCTTCAAAATAATCAATGCAATATATTGTAATTTAAGGGCTGGCATACTATGGCCCACAGGCCAATCTGGCCCACCACCTGTTTTTGTACGACTCCCATGTTTTACATTTTTAAATGAATGAAAAATAAAATAAAAAGAACAATTATGACACATGAAAATTATATAAAATTCAAATTTCTGTGCCCATAAATAAGCTTTTCAGGGAAAATAATCACCCTTATTTGTTTACATATTGTCTATGGCTGCTTTCCTGATACAATGGCTGAGTTCAGTGGTTGCAAGAGAGACCATATGGCCGGTAAAGCCTAAAATATTTCCTATCTGGCCCTTTACAGAAAAAGTTTGCTGACCCTGCTATAATTTCACAGTAAATCTAAAGAAATCTTTTCAACAAGTTTTACAAAACTAGAGGCCAAAATCATTCAAATAGCATCTAATATCTATGCCTTAAATTAAAGCACATTATTCATAAGGAAAAGCCTTTTGTATTGTGAATTTCATAGTCAAAAACCTAAGTGGGAATTTCAATAATTCATATTACAGTTTTTTGTTTTTTTCTGATCAAAATAAGAACTCTTCTAAGCCAACGCCAGAGACACAATCATACATACTATAGTTTGTGATAATCTTAGAGAAGTTTTCCCTATCTCTTTTCTTCAATTTATTATTTTTTTAAAAGACCTCTTTCATCCTTCTTCAAAAGGTCTACATTTCTACTTTTATATTTATGCCATTACATTTTCTCCAAATTACAGATGGCTCGAAATTTACTTTAAAGCTATATAAAGCTAATTTAAAGTTCAAATCATAAGAGGGCAGTAAAACAGCTAAATCCAATTATTAGACATAAAGATTGTTTACATTTTTATTTTAACCAATTGGGTGTGTTGTGAGATTAAAACTTAATAACTAAAAAATAACATTAATCACCAAAAAATGATAATGCACTAGAAACATGGCCATGCCATGAGGCTGCCTGTTAACAGCCAGAGTTCTGAATTGCTCCGTAATTAAATCTGAGCCTTGGACAGCATCTAAGGTCATGGTTTGTTCTGTAAGAAACATACGAATTTGTTCCTATAGTAAGTTTTTCATTAAGATTCTAGTCAAATTATATTTCTAGCTCTAAAATTTTTCACATTTGACACTACTAGATACATATTTCACCAAAATAAAATCTTCCCTTAAGGCAAAAACTCATTTCTCCAACATCAGATTTGTAAAGCTTTTAAAAAGGTCTATCAAGTAAAAGATATCTAACAAGCAATATGTGTCACTACCTGCATCTTTTCCCAGCAAACCTTTTTCGTAGACAGGTAAACTATGTAATACATCAACTATGTAAAGTATGCCAAGATACTACAATTACTAAAACATTCACATTCTTCAAAGGTAAACTAATAAAAACAATTTTATGCGTAAGGGTGTTTTAACCATGTTAAGTTAAATGATTATTTGATTAAATAAGGAAAAGCAAAGAGAATAAATTCCAAATAATATATAATAGCACAAGTTATACCTTTGTTTCATACAGCTGGTGCAACCTTCCTTTCTCCTGAGAAAGCTGTTTAATTTTGTTAGTGTTTTTCTCAAATTCCTTATTTGCATCTCTAAGTTTTCTCTCAAGTATCTCTTTTTCCTTTCGAAGGTCTAAAGATTCCTTCTCACCTCTTACATACTTCATTACCATTGCTTCTTTTTCCTGGCGTGCCTCTTCACATTTTTTGCTGGCCTTTGAAAAAATATTATCGAGCATTGTAAAAAAAATTTTTCCAAATAATAAAAACAAATTGAAATAATAGTTTCCTATTAGATCATGAATGCAGTTTTTGGTTATTGTGCAACATTCCCAGGATATGTGCCATGCAATTTTAAAATAAAAGGAAAAATCTAAATTATAGAAAAATGATACAATAAACAAAAAATCCCTAATATGTGCTTTTACCCTCTCCTGTTCCCTTTACTTAAGCTGATGGAGTTGTTCTCTTCTGTTTTATCCTCCAGGTTGGTATGCTAGGACTGAGACCTGGATCGCCCTGAGGACACTCGTCAATTTATGAGGCCGTGGGGAGAAGAGTTAGAGACAAGATCTTGAGCCCACAGCAAGGTAAAGAATTGGAAGCGAGACCGTTACCCCCACCCCACTCTGCACGCACAAACAAATAACCACCACTGGGACCCTTAAAGGGCTATACCTTTAGTGAAAGGGTGGGCTCCAAAAAACCCTCCTTTTGGTGTATTAACTGTTTAATGAGAAACTAATTTGCTCTGTAAACTTTCACCTAAATCACAATAAAAAATAAAAATAAATAAAATTTAAACAGGGAAAAGATTAAAGGAAAAAAGAAAAAAAAATCCTCCTTTTGAACAAAGGAACATAACATGGTAACTCTATTTCATGTAGGGGGCAGGTGAGGGACAAATTATAAAATTCCCAAGAATTTATAACCACAGCTCTACCTCTTTGTGTTTGAGGTCCAAATTCATGCTACCAATCTGGCCTGGGAAATGGGGAAACCTCAACCTGGAAAATTAAATTGGGGTGTGTATGCGCGCAGCCCTGGTGGTGCACTGGTTAACAGCTCAGGCTGCTAACCAAAAGGTCAACAGTTTGAATCCAGCAGCCAGTCCTTGGAAACCCTACGGGGCAGTTCTACTCTGTCCTATAGGGTCACTATGAGTCAGAATCGATTCGACCGCAGCAGGTTTGTTTTTTTTCTTTAATGTAGGTGTAAGTTGTGTGTGTGCGTGTGTGTGTGCACGCGCGCACACGCGTGCGTGCACGAGCGCATGCTGGGAATCTGGAACAAAGGATGGGATGAAAAGGGATGAAGCAGGAGACTTTTACTTTATATTCCACATACATCCTTTATTTATTATAGTTTTTCATAATTAGCATGTATTTATGTATTGGTTTAGCATCTTTAGAAAAGGTTAATTTTTATATTAATAAAACTATTACTCTTAATACACCACTGATGTCCAAAATGCTCTTCAGGATTAGTTTACTTTAATAAACAAGAAATCATGAGAGTATCAATTTAATGATGATGTGAAAAATACCTGTTCCATTCGATGGGCCATCTCTTTGTGCAACTGCTGAATTGCATTTTTAGCTGCAATATCTTGAGCTACTAGTTTATCTTTGGAAGCTTTAACTTCGTTATTAAGTTCCTCTATTTTTGATTCCAACTGTAAAGAAAATTATTTCCATGTTATTTTTATAGCTATAGCAAATAGGCCACTAATACTTCAAATAAATATAAGCAATGTAAATAAACATGAAAAAAGCAATAAATACAGAAATCAAAATTAAATGTTAACATTTCTATATCTCACTGGAATTAAGTTAGTATAAATCTGAAGCAAATCCTGATAAATTAAGATGTATGCCCATTCCTCACTTATGGACATGGTTAGGTTCCAAAGACCAGGTCATTATGTGAAAATCAGCATTATGCAAAAATGGAGGATGACCACATCAGATCACAAAATGTTATGTCTGTCCCTCTGGAAAATGTAGGCGGAAAATGTAGGCGGGCGCTATATGTTTCATGAAAGGGTTACTGCCAGATGTATGTCATTAATGTGCAAAATAGTCGGATAGTAGGTTTTTTACTATTGTTGTAAATACAAAATATTGGATAATGAGATAGCTGGTAAGTGAGGAGTAGGAGTATACGGGAGCCCTGGTGGCACAGTGGTTAAGAGCTTGGTTGCTAACCAAAAGGTTGGCAGTTCGAATCTACCACCTGCTCCTTCGAAACCCTATGGGGCAATTCTACTCTGTCTTAGAGAATCCAGATCTACCTGATGGCAATGGGTTAGGTTTTTTGTTTTTTTTTAGGTGTATATGGAAGCTCTAGACCAACCACTGAAGAAATAAATAAAAATAGTGAAAAAAAATCATTAAAGAAATTAAAATGGTACATTATAAAATATTCACTTAATACAAAAGAAAGTAGAAAAGTAGGAATAGAGCAGATCTAGAAATAAAATTAAGAAAATCCTGCTATCCCAGTTATCTATTTAGAAGTGTAAAGTTCTCTAAATGCTAGCAAAAGAAAGGAAAATCCAATTTTCTCTTAATAAAAGACCAAATTACCAAGGAGCTCATAAAAGGAACAGCTCTGGTTTCCTCCCATCTGTTTAGTGTGAAGCTTCTGGTCATCAGCAGTAACCTGACTACAAAATATGGATTTAGCCTATTTTTAAGGTTTCCTCACACCTGAAGGTTCTAAGTTTGGTTTACATGTAGCAGACCTAAAGCACATAAAAATCAGGATTTCAACACATAGAATTTTACAAATACAATCACATTCCAACTACGTAAAGGTGCATTAAGAACAGCAAAGCATAAGCAAGTGAAGCTCGGTTTTATTTTATTGTTATTGCCAATCGTCATTTCATTATATAGCTTTAAGTGAAAGATGGGGCAAAAGGAAGGACTCTTAAGGCTAAATTGCTTCTATCCCGTCCAAAGAAGAAAATGCAGCTTAGAAAGATAAGGAGCAACTCAGTTTTGCTACCACCAGTCTGAGTATTCACTTTGTTGATCCATGAATCAGAAGAGTGTATGGCACAAAAGAGAGAAGGAAGAGAAGAAGAGAAGGAGGAAGGGAGAGAGGAAGGGAGGGATGAAAGCAGAAGAAGAGAGGACAGAGAAAGAAAGGGAAAGGGAAGAAAAGAACAGGATGGGCTAGGGAAGCCAGCCAGCCAGACAAAATCTAAATCATAGGATCCAGTCTTCACAGTATAGTTAACAAAAATACTGAGAATGGAATCATATTAAACTATAAGCTTAAAAACATTTCTAATGCTAGATATTAACTTTTAGGTATATTGTTTCTTTCCATAATTGGCAAAAGCAGTTTGGTTGACTGTCAAATCAAATCATCTTTTATTTCCCAGATTTCTATAATACACAATATAGTCACATACATCATATAAAAATGTAGGTTTACTTTAAAAGATTACGATATGCTTTTCCAGTTTACAAAAGAGAATGCTTTAAATGTCAAATAATTCTCTGCATTTAAAATAAACAATTTAACTTACAGAACTTCAATTTACATACAACTTTTCAGGAATGAGTTTATTTTATAAATTAAAATATAGACTTTAAAGATTTTTGTCTTTTTACCTGTTTAATTATGCTCATATGCTGCTTCTCTGTTTCTGTTCTTTTCTTTAGTTCTTCTCTTAAATTGTCTTTTTCTGAGCAAATGTCTAAAATGAGCTCTTGATGCTTCTTATTTTCTTTAATTAATCTAAAATATGAAAAGGATAGTATAGGTAAAGCGTAAGTAAAAATGGAGATAAAACGAGATGTGGAATATAATCTGTTTGCAGATTAGGGTGTAGATAGCTGTGATTATAAATCAACATTCCTAAGTAATCTTTTTACAATGATACATTTTACTTTGCCAAATACTCTCTAGTCAATAACGTTATTATCTTTTTCCTAGAAATTTATTCATGTATTTAAAATCAGTGAAATATATTCAGATAAAGAAAACTCTACCCTTTTAAGTGTATGCCTCTGGGAATCTCAACTATGCACTTCGTCTCTTTAGATCAGCAGTTCTAAACCAGAATCGATTTTGCTTCCCAGGGCACATTTTACCGCTCCAGACATCTGTCTGGAGACATTTTTGGTTGTTAACACCTGGAGGTGGGGGAGGGGGGACAGCTACTAGCATCTAGTGGGTAGAGGCCAGCGATGCTGCTAAACATCTTACAATGCACAGGGCAGCCTCCCCACAACAATGAATTATCTGGGCCAAAATGTCAATAGTGCCGAAGTTGAGAAATCCTGCTTTAGATTTTAGAAATATTATAATGATACTCTAAAAGTTATAGAAGTATAGTTAATGTAAAATAACAGAAGTTTAAACAGAAATTTCATTTTGAGACTCCTAGCAAAATAGAAATAAAAGCTTAAAAATTACCTGCAAAGTACTCAGAACTATAAAAGACACCTAAGAACTATAAGACACCTATTAATAGCTACTCTTCTAGGATTATTAATAACAATAGCTATTACCTAACATTTATTGCACACTTATTATTTGCAAAGTTTGCTTTATGTGCATTATCTCATTTAATAGTCCAGGCATTAGATTTGGGGTAGTATTAAGAAGGACCCTGGATGCCAAGAGATTACAGTTCATTGGCTAAGCCAATGAAGTCACAGTGAGCCGGTTTTGGGAAGAACGACTGAGCAAGATAATCTGGAAGAGTAAAGACTAGAAGCAAGGAGATCATTAACAGCCAATTTCACATCGAGCAATACTTGGATCACAGTATATTTTTTCCTGTCATCCTCCTCTGATACCTGGATTTCCTCTCTCCCTTTCTCCTACACATACATACACACACACCCCCACCCTGCCACCTATTGCAAATTTTTTTAAAGTATGTTTCTAAAAAGACAATCAGACTGTATTTTAGGGGAGGCTAGTATGCTTTATTTTCCTTTCTTAAAGGTTCCAAAAGTGCACCTAAACCTATATATCATTTAGTTATATAAATCTAGAATAAAAATACAGAGTAGTATGTTAATACTATTGGGAAAAAGATTAAATGAAATTAAACTATTAGCAAAACAAAAATGAACTATACAAATTTAAGAGAAGTCTAAAATAACTGTTCTTTTTTCCTGAATGTATCATCAACCAATTCTTTTATTCGCTAAATTTTAGTTTTTTAAACCCAAGAATTTACAGTGTGGATTTTAAGAAAAACTCTTTGAATTTCATGACTTCTCATTTGCTTCTGAATTTCTCTTAATTTTGATAATACAACTTCTCCCCACTTATCAACTATCTTGTTATTCAACATTTTGCATTTATGACAATAGTAAAAAATCTACTATCTGACTATTTTGCACATTAACTATGTACGTCTGGCAGCAACGCCGTGGTGCAAGGTGAGAGGAATGCTGGCTTTGATGGTTAAGGTTATGTGTCAACTCGGCTGGGCCATGATTCTCAGTGGTTTGGCAATTATGTAATGATGTAATTTGATAGTTATATAATGACGCAGTAACCTCCATTTTGTGATCTGATGTGGTCATCCTCCATTTTCACATAACACTGATTTCACATAACGACCTGGTCTTTGGAACCTAACCATGTCGATAAGTGAGAAGTGTGTACTTCTACATTCTTTCAAAACTGAAAAATCTGACTTGTCTTTACAAAGATTTCTAGATCTTTAATGAACTTATACTGTTTAAGATTTTTCCTTTGTGAGTTAGATATTAAATAACTAGACAAACTTGACAATTATTCAGTAAATATATACTTATTGATCAACTATTACATCCATGGCTCCATTGTGGGATTGAAAGTGAACAAATGACTTTCCTTTAAAGAATTCAATCTGTAATCCCTGGCGAGGGGCGGGGGGGTAGATAACCAAAGGAAATCAAACTTACTTCTTTATGGTATGTTCCTGCTGCAAATACTTATCTTGTACACATTTTTCAAACATAATTAATGCATGCTCCCCCTTATTCATTCCATTCGGTACTTGGCGTTCATCTGCAAACTCTGTAGATAAGAGCTCAGATTCAATTTCTTCCAACAAATCCTCTGATGCTGAAACATTCTTTATTTTTGAAATAAGTTTCTTGGTGCAGTCTGTATCATAAGGACTTTCTGCATAAGTCTTTTGATAAGCTGCTTCTGTAAGTGTAGATGACCTTAATTCCGCCAGTATTTGTGTTACTGTCTGCTCTGTATCATTTGTTTTTGAAACTTGCTTTGCAAAATCTCCACCAGGAAAATTAGCTATTTGTTCAGAATTTTCAGGGCATATGTCTGTTTTAGCACAAGAATCCTCCCCTCCACCATGATCTGGAATAGAATTTTCCTGTGCTTCAGTTTGATTATTGTGTACATTAGGTTGACATAAAGTTTTATCAAAGCTTGGTGACAATTGTTTTGACTCATTTTCTAAGCTGCTGCTTTCATCATCAGAAAACGAACTGCATGAGTCTTCCTTGAATTCAGATGTTTTCCCAGTGTTTTTATCAGAGGAAATGGAGGCTACGTGCTCTGTCTCTGACATGCTGACTGGCACCAATTCACTCTGAATTTCTTCAAATCTGCTCCTGATCTTTCTTTTACATCTAAGAAAGTCAAAACATCAAAATTAATTTTTTTTAACCAAGACTCTATATATATTGTACACACTCCATTATGTGGACTAACTAAGGTTACAAATTTCACCACTAGTAATTCCTTTAAAAGTCTTTACTTGGGGGGAAAGAAAAAAGAATAGGACAACCAACCCAAGTGTGCTACAACCAGTAAGGCTGCTGCAATGTCCCATATTCTCTTCCTTCCATGCAGTCATACAACTTCACACTAGTTAATTTCAGCTGCAGCTTGGCATTCTTAATCACCCCAGTAAGATGCTACAAAAAAAAAAAACCAAACCCGTTGCCATCGAATCAATTCTGACACATAGCGACCCTACAGGACAGAGCAGAACTGCTCCATAGGGTTTCCAAGAAGCAGCTAGTGGATTCAAACTGCCAACCTTTTGGTTAGCAGCCGAACTCTTAACCACTATGCCACCAGGGCGGAATAACACTAGGAATTAGGTTAGCACCAAAGAAGTGTTAGAATTCCTTCAGCTCCAAGAGGGAAAAAAGACTACCTCAAGAATGTAAGAAAATAGTGGGGAAGTAAGGCAAGAATGAAAGCACTAGAAATCGCATACCCAGATAATATAAACAATGCAGATTAAATATGATAAAAAATTTACTAAGAACAAAAATTAAACAATAACAAGACACAGCTACCTATAGCCCAGAGGCCTAGAGCTGAGCTGAGAAGAAATCAGGGTGTAAAAGATTTCTTAGAGGAATCTGTTTTTTAGACAGGCAGGGTGATCCAGGAAGTACCATGGTGATTTTCAAACATTCTCATCAGGAATAAACAATGCTTAGTGCAAATCAAATGGAGCCCATTTGCACTGCCTAGGTCACAAAAGTAACATTAAAAAAATTAATTCGACAAGGTTAGAATATATTTTTATATTGTTCATGAAAGTCATTACACTAGCCATCATATAAAAATTAACCAACTTCAAAAATTATCTTGGGACAAATAAACATAAAATATTTCAGCAATCTTGATGAAAGAGAATCAGCTTGTCTTGTCTGGTTGGAAACCCTGGTGGCATAGTGGTTAAGAGCTACAGCTGCTAACCAAAAGGTCGGCAGTGCGAATCTATCAGGCGCTCTTTGGAAACTCTATGGGGCAGTTCCACTCTGTCTTACAGGGTCGCTATGAGTCATAATCGACTCGATGGCAATGGGTATGGTTTGGTTTTCTCTTGTCTGGCATTAACAAAGCAAATACAGGGTGGATGAGTTACCTTAATCATATGAGGTTGGATAAAAAATGGGCAGATGACAGTTTGACAGAAACAAGGAAAGAAATAGTTCCCGACGGGAGGTGTATTTATGGAAGACAAAACATAAAAGATTAAATTTCTGAATAACAGAAAACAAGATGTATGTTTATGCCAGTCTGGTATAGGTGGAGGTCAGAGAATGATTTAAAAAAAAAAAAAAAGGGTAAGAGGAGACTAACACTGGTCTGGTAGAATCCACAGGAGTAAACTTTGTAAAGAAGGACAATAAATCATGGTAGACTTTGATACTTGATTGTACAGAACTTCTAACACATAGCAGGTTCTCAAATATTTGCTGAATTAAAGCCTGTAAGCACAGAAGTGATATAATAAAACCAGTATTTGAGGAACATTATTCTATGCAGAAAATAGGAGGAATAATTTTAAGAAAGGCAAGAAGGAGACCAGTATTTTCATTAAATACCCTGGTTTTTAGTTTAGACTGCCTTTTGGGGCACCAACTAATAAAGACATTGGCCTTAGTACTTAAACTACCTATCTGTACAACATATATTTCCAAACAACCACTCAAATGATCATTATTAACTTGTTGCATATATTTTATAACCAAGCCAAAGCCCAAATTAGTATTAGAGGCTTAGATTAAACAATACAAATAAATGAAGTAAGTAAATAAAAGGACTCACAAGTATGTTGTATTCCTCCATACCAAAACCAAACCCATTGCCACTGAGTCAATTCTGACTCATAGTGATCCTATAGGACACAGTTGAACTGCCCCATAGGGTTTCCAAGGCTGTGATCTTTAAGGAAGCAGACCGCCACATCTTTCTCCCGCAGAGTGGCTGATGCGTTCAAACCACTAACCTTTTGGTTAGCAGCCAAGTGCTTAACCACTGCACCACCAGGGCTTCTTTTGTTGTATTCCTAGGACAAAGTACAATAATTCTCAAATAGGGCATTAGCCACTACATCATCTTCTCCAAAGTACCACTTTAAGGTATACTTTGTAAATGTATTGCTGTTAAATTTTAAATCTTACCAATTTAAAAATGAATATAAAAACTAATGAAGGGAGCAGATTTAAAAATTCAGACTAGTTACTGTTGTACTAGTTAATGCAGAAGTTGACCAATAGCTGGCCAAAATGTAATGGATAGCAGATAAAGTATCTATTTAAAAGAGAGTAGCACTGTAAAGGCATTATGACTCACTAGTATAGACAAAATGGAAGAAACTTTTATCATCTGACTTGATGGCTCCTACATCTGTGCCATGCTTTGTCAATGGAAAACCACTAAGCAAACACTGGTTATTAACATCTTACTCAGCTTTCATGTTCCCCAAGGTTCAGTCCTCAAGTCTTTATTTTCCTTCCTAGAATTCATCCACTCTGATAATTTGAATCAACAGCTCCTACTTGATGCCACATAGTTTCAGTCCTGGGCTTCTGAGTGATAGATATCGATTTACCTATCTCTTTCAGATTCCTCAGTAAACCAGTTGTACTACTTTTCCAATCTTATCTCTCAACACATTCCTAAAATCCTAGTGCTTAACTATACTCTACCAGTCTGGACCAGTCTACTCAAGAGTCCCCCAATTTGTACATTAACATTCCCATGGCTTCCTCCCCATCTAAAACGGTCTTCCCTTCAGTCTACTGAGAGCTTAATTATGTCTAAAGAACCAATTCTAATGCCACATCTTCCTCTAAATTTTCCTTCAATGAAAGTATGAAAATAATTTCTTATGTAAACTAAAACATACTGCATTTATACTTATCAAGCACATAGTCACAGCCCTCCTTGTGACATTTTTAAAGAGGCAGTCTCCAGCCTTTGAAATTATCTCTGCACTTGCAAGAAACCAAGGAGCTTTACTCTGAAATAAATGTCTTAAATCTCAAGCAAAATACTAGTAACAATTAAATAAATTTAACAAATATATTCTCTACTACATTTACACTAATTTTTACAAATGTATCCAGAGGTTCTCAATGGGGTGAGGCCCACTGGGTTTACACAATGATCTGGGAAACCGAAGGGCAGCAATAGTGGGTGGGAAGCAGGGCAGGCTGTGAGACTTATAATGTTCTGCGCAGTGCAGAACAACAAAAATTTGTTCCACATCCTGCTGGGTGTGCATCTAGGTGAAAATAAATAAATAAACTATTTTTATAATTACCTAAGCTTAGACTCTAACTCTGTTTTACATATTAAAAAAAAAAAAAAAAAAAACAAACCCGTTGCGTCGATTCCAACTCATAGCAACTCTATAGAGTAGAACTGCCCCATAGGATTTTCAAGAAGCGCCTGGTAGATTTGAACTGCCGACCCTTTGGTTAGTGGCCATAGCTCTTAACCACTATACCACCAGGGTTTCTGTTTTTATGCACCTGTAAATTAAGCAAAACTTAATTTAATCTCAAAAGGCAAGTACTTCCTATATTGTTCCTCAGTAATATGCCCATGACTTTTGAAAAAGTCATCATAAAAATTGGCATTTGATAACCACTTAGCTTGCAAACTTTCTTTTCTGATACTCAAATGAATAACGGTTGAAGGAAAAAGGAAAAAGAGAGGGGTTAATGAAGATCTATGTGTATCTATGTAACAAGGCCATCGTCAAAGATGAAATAACTGCACGAGTGGTAGCAGACAGAAAAGAGCCATGACCTTGATTCCCTCTACAACTAACCAGGAGAAAAAACAGTCAGCTGAGTCCTCTTGTGGGCCTCCAGCTGGCAACACTAATGTGTGCCAATCTGGTTGCTGTCCAATTTTTCTCTCTTGGGGGGTGTCATCAAAGCTACTGAGGATGGAATAGCCTCTTAGTAAACAGGGAAGGATGTAAAACTAGCCATTTGTTTACAAGATTGTTTTAAGAAGTGCTTGTACAAAACAAATCACATTCATATATATAGTGATTACTACTGTAAATTACAATTTATATTGCTTTTTTGAGGCAAAAAATAACAGGTTATATGACTTTTTAGCAACTCTTACTCATTAGAGGAAAACACTGTATTTAAAATTTAGCAGAGTCACAAAAGTCATCTTTAAATTCAAACACTTTCTTTTTTTTTTCAAAGTTGTTTCTGACACAGTACTACAGGACCAATTCACACTTCAAAACTGCTTCAGTGGAGAACTGGTTTCGCTCTTACTGGAGCTCATCAGCTGTAGGCAACTGGTCAAGAAACATTTATTAGCCTTAAAGCCAACCATTCCTCCCTTTGGATTTTATTTCTTAATGAAAAGGACATATACATAAGAAATGACTTAAACTTTTAAAACTCACAATTGTACAAAAGTATTTCCATTAAAGAGCCATACAAATACAAACACCATCTTTAATGGCTTATAATTGTATTTCCTTTTTCCCTCACTAATTAGCACTATAAACAAACAAACAAAAAACATAGGCATAGTCAATAAACTGTAAATACAAAAGAATCCAATTCACAGATATTTGGGAAGAGGTTATCAAACAAGCCTCATACAAAGGTACCAAGTCAGAAATACATTTCCAAACTAGATATTAATTTGTTCATTCACCAAATATGCACTGAGCATCTAATACGTCCAGGTACTGTTCTAGGTATTGAGAACGTGGCAGTGAATGAAAAAGACATTCCTCTGACATTCCCCTACAGTGGACCCAACATAAGAGGCTCTGTATTAAATCTCTTCCTCTTCATTTGTTGCTGCCAACAAACACTAAATCATTATAGGTTATATAGTATTTATTTTAAAGTTACAGAATTTTCATCTTAAGGCCTGCCCAAATTTCATTAGAAGCTATAGAAATGCATGAGTGCTTTAAGTCGGACAGAAAAACCTAACTCAGATCAGCATAAATATTATTTACAAAAAACTATAAATTTTCAATTACAAACAGAACCATTTGTGTCTCACATAACGTCAGCTTTCCAAATAATGTCCATTAAGATAAGCAAGTTGGACCTGGAAGAGAACTCTTTTTCTTCAACATAAAGGTTTACTGCCCTTTGTAGGCAAAGTACATCAAAAGGTTTTTTACATATTCCCAATACACTTTGAAAGCAGAATAAACAAAGGAATACTTGCATTTGTGATGAGTTCTAACAAGATTTTGATAAGACAAAGTCAGAAGCAGTCAATTAAATCAAATTATCTGCACATCCCAACCTGATATAATCACAACACAAAATAATTTATTCTTAATAGATAATAACTTTAAAAGATGATTATTTTTCTGGATAAAGCTTTTAAAAAATAAGCAATAAAATAATAGAAAAGAACTTGTGTTTAAGAAACATGAAAACCTTGTTGTATATGATGAAAAGATCTAATATTAAAGTTTCATATAAGGTGAAGTTATGCAGATTCAATTCTACTTCTAAAAGATAAAAACTGGGCAGGCTATTTCAAAGAATTCTAGATTTGCTCTATAAAAAGTAAGAAATATTTTTTAAAGTAGTCGCATGCTAATTAAACTTTCTGGTAAAATTTAACTTTAATATATTGAGTTTCCTTTACGTGAAAGGTATCACTAGATTTAAAAAGTTACTTTTATCATAGGGCAACATTTGTAGTAACTGTTAAATGAGGAACTATTTTGTTCTGTAAGCCTTCATCTTAAGTGAGAATAACAGCACAATTGGAAGAGCGTAGTCAATGTCACTGAACTGTGCATGTAGAAATTTTTGAAACAGTGTATCTTTGGCTGTGTGTATTTTCACCAAAAAAAAAAGGCTGAGAAGATAGAGGGTTAATATGTTGTGGGGTTGTTAACCAATGTCATAAAACAACATGTGTACTACTGTTTCATGAGAAACCATTTGTCCTGTAAGCGTTCACCTGAAGTACAATAAAATATAAAAAAAAAAGTTACTTTTAGTCCACCAGTTGGAAAAGTCCGTTAATATGAGGCCAAGATCAATGGTCTCTATAGGGGTTTATTTAGCTTTGCACCTAAGTCTCAAAGCAGGGTGGATTTTTATGGTATATGAATTACATCTCAAAAAAAGATATTTAAAAAAAAAAAAAAAAAGACTCAGGGCAACAAATGTAGCCAGACCTCTCCCCCGCAAATAGTACCAAATCCTCCGGGAAAAAGAGGGTCAGTGGTCACATTGTGTATCACATTATCAAGCTATATCATAAATGTCATATGATCACTTTGGAATAATAAAAACAAACAAACCCGTTGTCACTGAGTCGATCCCGACTCATAGCGACCCTATAGGACAGAGTAGAACCGCCCCCATAGGGTTTCCAAGGAGCGGCTGGTGGATTCGAACTGCCAACCTTTTGGTTAGCAGCCATAGTAGACCCAAGCAATTTTACATATCTCTCGTATTTTTTAAAAAATTTTAAAGCAGGAAGTTATTAATATAGAAATCTTATTTTAGAGCTACTTATATAGATTTGTCTATACAAATCTATACAAATCTTACCAATTGAACTTTAATGAGTCTAAGAAAATATGAAAGTATTTTTAGCTAATTTTTTCCTCAAATCTGAAAACTGAAAGAAGGGGGGAAAAACATGTGACCTACAGTTCCCTTTTCTTTAAGGTGAATAACTTAGGGAGAAAAAAGATTTTTAAATGATAAGTTGTATGACATATTAAAGAGTTTTGGTTAATTTTTTAATTCTGAAGCCACCTTTGACCTGGGCTTGGTTAACTTGGTATGATATAGTTAAAAAATTAAATTATTTCTTAGCATTTATTACATCCTCCTCCCTACAGTACACACTTTGTCAGTTCATGTCTCTTAGTGACACACAAATAGTTAAAAAGAAATACACTCAATGCAATCAATACTTCACTGGGTTTGAGGTCCACTTTGTATCTATCATCATTTTCACCCCAATATTTTTCCCTTTGTTTACTTCTTAGCTCAAGTAAAATTTTTAAATCTCAGTAGCTGAGAAACAAAGTTCAATGGAGAAGTGTGAACAATATAAGATTAGGGGGTTTTATTTATAGATTTAAATTATTTATCTTCTCTCTGTTACCCTTAATATGAATATTAAATATAACATTTGTAATATTTTAAGCCCAGTGATATGTTTATGAGAAATTTATGAATCAGCTGTAGTTATTTAAAGCTAGAGATAAGAGATACAATTAAAACCTAAACGTTATTAAAAAGAAAAAAAAAAGAAACTTCAGGTTAAGGATTCTTTAGCACGCAACTGTCAGATAAATTTGGGAAACTAGGGCAGATTACCAGTTATTCTTTACAGGGAAGATGATTTTCTGAATCTCTAAACAAAGCTGCTTCAACCTATCATCCCTTCCCTAAGGACTGAGTATACTGTAGTTTTACCTTCACTCCATGATGTCAGCTTGCAATGTAAAGACATGTTTTTAAACTGAATATACTAAGCAATTATCACAAGCCATGCAGTCATTGCAAAGCATCAAAGGATGACTCAAGTTTATGGGTGAAGGAACTAAAAGGTTAGAGTGGTTACTGTGCTACATGCTAGCCATTCCCTTCATATTAGCTATAAATAAGACTCTGAAATGCCACTGAGCCTCTATGGAATTTCCACTGTTTGAAGACACCTCTAGGTTTATATGCAATTATTCTGAATCAGATGAGGTCAGAATAAAAAAAGACAAAATCAATATAAACACAATCCACGCATTCATTACTAGGGAGATTCTCTAGTAATTGTATTTGCTTGCATATTACACTATAAAAACCTGTAGCCGTGGAGTCCATTCCGACTCATAGCGACCCTACAGGACAGAGCAGAATTGCCCCATACGGTTTCCAAGGCTGTAATCTATACGGAAGCAGACAGCCAGGTCTTTCTCCCACGAAGCAGCTGGTGGGTTCAAACCGCCAACCTTTCGGTCAGCAATCGAGTACTTAACCACTGCACCAGGACTCCCTTTACTGTAAAAAGGAGTTTAATTCTTAATACTACAAGGCTTGCTTATTTACTTACACGACTTACAAATACATTTACTGAATTTAAAATAGACCAACGAAAAAAGAATTAAAAAAAAAAACAAAAAACCCTAGGCCCATCATTACTATTTTCTATTTGTGTAATGGTGGATAAAGGAAGAACTGAATAAATAGCTGTACAGGGAACAGTATACTTTACACACAAGGAGATAGTCCACTTTCACTATCAATGTTTCTTGAACCTTAATCTTTTCCACAAG